CTCCTGCAACAGTCAAGGCCGCGTCCTGTTCTTTTCACCGGGCGTAGTCGAAGACGACCCTGACGGGGAGATGTATTACCACGGGACCGGAAAACCACGGGAAGAGAGGACCAGAGGACCAGAGGGCCAGAGGGAGCAAGGGACCAGAGCACCAGAGAGACCAAAGGACCGGAGAACCAAGGACCAGAGGACCCGACGACCAAAAAAAGTAAGCAAAAAAAACGAAGAAATGTTTCCCACAGCAATCTAGGTTTGCTTGGGACTCAGGGCCAGGGTCCCCATCAAACACAAGGCTGCGGTGCAAAGAGGGCGCACGCTTAGAATCTGGAAGCTTGGGGTTCGCGAGCATCTCATCCCAATTCGGAGCTCCGAAACCCTGACGCCCGAAAACACCCTGAGGCACCACATCCCCAAACGCTCCTAAACCCTGTCGACCCGCGAGCCCTGAACCCAAGCACCCTAAACTTTATACCTAAAGCCAAGCAATCCTTTAAACCACGGACCCCGGCACCACAAAAAAGCCTCAAAACCCCAAGATCCAGAGGCCTGGAAACGGAATCCCCTTAATCTCGACCAGCGTAGCCACGGGTTTAGGGTGAGCCCATGAAACCTTGCACGGACCTTCCGCCTTCCGTGGCTTAGTCTTTCATTCCTATCAACCCCGCACACGCCCTGCATGCCCGAAGTATTACTTAGGTCCACACGCAGGTGACCTACAAACAAACAGAGTAGGTTCTCAAGGTAGGTGGACACGGCGGTTGAACCCCTAAACCCACCCTTAGACTGGAGAGGCATTTCGCTGGGCCTTGTTGGATTCTTAGGTGACCTACGAACGGTAGAGTAGGTTCTGAACGCAGGTGGAACCCGAAACCTCACCCTAGATTGGACAGGCGCCCGGCATTTACACGGTGCAGACCATCCTGGGCCACGGGAGCTTTTTGGGGTTTAGGTTGAGGGTTCAGGGCTTGGGGCTATTAGGGTGCCATTTATGGTCGCAAACAGAGCTTAAGATGAGCTTCCCACAACAATCTAGGGTTGGTTGCTTGCGACTCGGGGCCATGCTCCCGAACAAACACAGGGCTGGCACTTTTTGTAGCACCCTAAACCCTAAACTCGGAGGGCTGCGCAAAAAGGGCGGAAGCTTAGAATCTGGAAGCTTGGGTTCGTGAGCATCTCATCCCAGTCCCGAAGCTGCGAGCGCAGGTAAAGACCCAGCATGCACCACATCCCCAAACACCCGATCACACCCTGAGGCCACGCAATCCTTTAAACCACGATCCCCTGTACAATGAAAATAAAGGCCTTGAACCCCAAACCCCCAAGATCCAGAGGCTTAGCAACGGCAACCTCCAAATCCCAACCAGCGTTGAGAGCCAAGGGTTTAGGGTGAGCCCATGAAACCTTGCACAGACCTTCCAGAGTTGTGGGGTTTCGTAAGGCCGTGGCTTAGTCTTTCATTCCTATCAACCCCGCACACGCCCTGCATGCCCGAAGTATTACTTAGGCCTGATGACCCAACACGCCCTACTGGTAAGCCCTAAACGCAACACATTCCGAGACGGACAACCCTACGAGTAGGTTTTGGGTTCTCAAGGTAGGTGGACAATGCCGCACCCTAAACCTCAGCCCCACCCTAGGTTGGCCAAGCTCCAGGCCGGATGTGTCTGCGCAACCTCGGGAGGGTTTGAGGCCTTCGGTTCGGTTCAGGGTCAAGCAGAGTTTCGGGGATGACAGGGTGCCACTAAGAAATGTGCGAGCGCCAAAAACTGAGCCATTAACCCTATAGACCCGTGAACTCCACACTCCCAAACTTCGATCACACCCGAAGGCCACGCACTCCGCTGATCCACGAACCCCTGCGCAAAAAAAAACCAGGCCCTGAACACCAAACCCCCAAGATCCAGAGGCCTGGCAACGGAAACCCCCAAATCCCAACCAGCTTTGAGAGCCAAGGGTTTAGGGTGATCCCATTGAAGCCCATGACACCCCGCTCATACCTTCCAGAGTTGTGGGGTTTCGTAGGGCCGGTGGCTTAGCCCCTGCCTCCTATAAACCCTACACACCCTGCATGCCCTCAGTATTGCCAAAAACCTGCACACAGGGCTGGCACTGTTCGCAGCACCCTAAACCCTAAACCCGCAGGTCTGCGCAAAGAGGGCGGAGGCTTAGAATCTGGAAGCTTGGGTTTCGTGAGCATCTCATCCCAGTCCCGAAGCTGCGAGCGCAGGTAAAGACCCAGCACGCACCGCACCCCCAAACACCCCTAAACGGTATAGACCCGCGAGCCCTGAACCCAAGCACCCTCGACCTCGCACCCTAAAACTAAGGGATCCTTTAGAATATGAAACCCTCCAAACGCTAGCATTCCTAGCCCAGAACTGAAAACCGCCAAACGCAAATCTGTAAGACAATTAAATGCCGGCTTTCCCCTAAGCCTTCACCCCAACAAGTACCACCACTAAACCTCATCCCAAAGCCCCTTCTAACCTTAACCCCTGAGTCCCTCAACCTTCCACCCCCATCCTGAAGCCCCAAAATCCCTACATCCATAAAGCCTCAGCCCTAGGTTCTTTCGCCCCCGAAACACTGAAACCCCTGGAGCCAACCCGTAATTCCTGTGTGAAGTTTGGTGAAAGTTTGGAATTCTTGGTTTTTGGGGCACAGAACTCAGTGCCTCAGACAGCCAGCCATCGTCGCGCTCAGCCATTGCTAGCCTGCGCATGGTGGGGTCCAAAACCCTTAAGCCCGAATCCTTAATCATGGCGGCCTTGACCCCAAATCAAGAGCCAACTTAATCTCTCTACATGGCCAGCTCTCAAGAGTAGGGTCTATTTTGTACGCCCTTTTATTTTGGGCAAACCAAACTGGGCTTACTGCCGAATCCCTAAAGAACCTGCAAAAAGCCTCAGGACCAGGATGCAGAACAAGGCGGCTTGCATGGCTCCAGAAGCCGGCCGGAACAGCAAATTGTCAAACCACGGAGCTTGGAACAGCTGCTGCAGGGTCAACAGTCACGTTCTTATGACGCTCTTAGTAGATCCTCCTACTACTACTACTACTACTACTACTACTACCACTACCACTACCACCACTACCACTACCACTAAGACTACTACTAACTACTACTACTAACTACTACTACTACTAACTACTACTACTGCTACTACTGCTACTACTACTACTACTACTACTACTACTACTACTACTACTACTACTACTACTACTACTACTACTACTACTACTACTACTACTACTACTAGCACCACCCCTTGGCCCCCTCCCAGTGCGACGGATGCCGTTGCACCCGTCAAGATGAACTCTTCAACCCGAAGAATATGTCATGGTTTTAGGGTTCAGGTTTGGGGGAGCGTTAACGGTTTAGTGGGCTTGGGTTTAGGGTTCAGGGCTAAGGATTTCGGGCTTGCACTCTGTGGGTTTGGGTGTAGGGTTCAGGTTTAACGATTTTGGGCTTGCATTCCGCAGGTTTGGGTTTAGGGTTCAGGGTGCAGGCCAGGGGTTGCGGGCTTCGGAAAGGTTTTGGCAGCTTCTGTGTGCTATGCTGCTGCGAAGGAGAATGTGGGGAAAGGGTTTAGGGTTTAGGATTTAGGGTTCCAGGGTTTAAGCTCCCCCAAGCCCTAGACCGTGGTCGTCCAGCAAAGGTCGAGGAAGCCCGGCACACCCGGTGGCATGCAAACTGTGGTAGGAAAACAACAAAAGAAAGCCGCGAATGCTGCCATGTAACAGACGCACGTGTGCCGAACGATACCCCCCCCCCCACCCCACAAGAGACAGGATGCACTGGGAACCTGGACACAGCATTCCATCGAGCACAGAAATTGTGGTCGTTGACTCTGTGCCGCAACGCAATGCAGAAGACGTGACCAAGGGATTCACCTATCTGAAACGTAATTACCCACCCCCCCCTCGCCCCCACACCCCCACCCCACCCTCCAAAACACAGGATGCACAGGAAACCTGGACACAGTCTTCCATCGAGCAATGCAGGTATGTGTGGCATATTTGCGCTTGATACACCGCCTATCGTCATTTGCGATCGGCAAAATTGAGGCTAAAAACCAGTGGTTTTTTGGCGCCACGAAAAAAATGCCAAAAAGAAGAAAAAACACAAGCGCGAATGCTGGTATTTACAGCATCTGGTATTTACAGCATTTTGTCGTCGAAAACGCAACTTTTAAAAAGCTTGCAAAACGCCACTTTTACAGTGCGGTTGTGCACATTGTCGAAAGTCACCCTCAAAAACCAAAGCGTAACGCGCATTTTGTAAAATAAAAGACGTAAAATAGTGTGTTTTGTCCGTCGTCCCGGGGGGGGCAATCCTACTGCTACTGCTACTACTCCTACTACTACTACTACTACTACTACTACTACTACTACTACTACTACTACTACTACTACTACTACTACTACTACTACTACTACTACTACTACTGCTGCTGCTGCTGCTACTACTACTACTACTGCTGCTGCTACTACTACTACTACTACTACTACTACTACTACTACTACTACTACTACTACTACTACTACTACTACTACTACTGGCACTGGTACTGGTACTGGTACTAGTACTGGGGGGGGGGGGGGAGAAAAAGAGCAGTGCCTGACCACTACTTTCTCGCGTGCGTTTTGCCACAGTGATTAAGCTTCCGTTAGACTTAGGTTGTCCCTTTAAAGCATCGGAAACTCTTTCTAACGGCCCACCTGCAGTTCGTCTTGCCAGGATGTTTTCAGAAGGGGCCCTAGCATTCAGGCCTAGCATGTTCGGAGTTCCCTAGGGCTAAAGAGAAAGCCTGACGCAAGCGTATTCATAGAGCTCCTGCTGTGAGGTTTATAGGGTTCAGCTGAGGTGTAGGGTTTGGGGTTCGGGCGCTCAAGGGTCCGGGGTTTAAGGTCCAAGATCAGGCGAAAAGCCGAGTTTTTGGCTCGAAGTTTTAGTGTGGGTGGGCTTTGAGCCGACATCCCTGTCCAGACAAAAGGGTCTACCGAATCGTCATCCTTCTGTCTGCCCTGGCTCGAGATATTGGACCCAGCTCCACCTCCCTTACTGCCTGCGTGCGGCCGCGCGCTCTCGTGGGCTGAGGCAGCCGGAGATTTTCCTCCTTGCGGAACGAGGCCCAAAAACCCTTAAACGCTCCTACTTGCGGGCCCAGAAGTTCACAAGGGTTTCAGGCTTAGGGCCAGCGTGCGCGCTCTGGGGATTTCATGGGCATCGAGGCGTCCGGTATTGCGGCTAAGGCGGAAGCCTTCCGAAATGTTAAAGCTTAGACTGCTTAGACCCTATATAACGCTAAACTTTGAGCCCTGGCCTGGTATCGATGCCAGCCTTTCTCCAGGATGGCCTTGAACTCGGTGATGTCATGCCTAGGCTGGCTCTAGAAACCTTCTGGTACATCTTCCATCTTCCTAAACCCAGCCAATAAGTGCCAATAATAAGGGAAGACGATGAATCATCCCAAGGGCGTACCTAGAAGCTCAACGTAGCAGATGTGCCGCATATCCAGGTAAGCGACTTCGGCAGTTTGAGACACCCCAAGGCCGCTATATCGTCGAGCGTCTGCCTTCGCGCGCTGGTCGCCTAGGTTCCCCATTGACCGTGGCGAGCAACAGATATTTTCTGGGATCTTAACCCTACAGGAAAATGACAAGCGAATTGAATATATATTTTGACGTGGGTTTTGTGGTGTTACTGGACATCCTGGTTGCACAGATCCTCCCATTTCATCTTGCCTTCGCCTTTCATATTCTCGAAATAGAAGACGTGCAAGGTTTGACCTCGCTGCACCGCCAATTCCACGTTCTGCTGCCACTTTTCGAACCAGTGGCACCCCCATGGGGCGCGCCCACGATTTGCAGCGCAGTTTGCCTCCGCTTCGAGCCTTGCTTGTTCGAGCTTTCTGCGCCACTGTTTGTCCGTGTCCAGCTTGGTTCTCTTCACCAAGCACTGCCCCATAGCTGCGGCGTCTGCTTCCCTACGCTCCAACTCGTCTTCGGTAATTTGCCTGAGGTCCACCACACATAGGTAAGCGTCGAATGAGATTTTGCCGTAAATAGTCGGGCACCAGCATTGGTTTGTACCTGAATCTGGGTTAGTACCGTGACAGCCAAGACCAGACTCCTTATCCGTGAAGAAGACGCAGGCCAATGACAGCGGATGCTGCGTTGTCATGCGTGCAGCCAACACTGCCGCATCCCACTCTGCACCATATTTTCCTAGGTAGCCCGGAAATTAACCAACCATCGTAGTTGGCGAATTTTCTGAAAGGAACCCCGAACCCTGCCCGAACCCAAAAAGGGCAAAAAGGTCACCACTGGGCGTCCCAGCATCCGGGGAACGACACGACACAGTCACTGCAATTTGGGAGGACGCAGCCAGGGAAAGCAATTCTCCCAGAGCTGGTCAGACCCTGCCCAGATTTCAGAAACTCCTCTGCAGGATGGGGTTTATTGAGCTGTATGGTGTTCATGCGCGGAGTTTTGGGAGGGTTCAAGCAGTTTTGATTTGGGATGTCTTTCGGGACAGTTGAAGCTTTTGGAGGGCTATTGGGTGCTTTCGCTTTCTTGGGTGCCTTTTGGGTGCCTTATGCCATTTTGGAGCCTTGTCTTTTCCCTTGTTTGCGGCCTTTGGTGCTGTGCGGGTGGCTGGTTGCCAATCCATGTGGTCTGGCCAAAAACAAGGTGGCTTGTCGTTCTGTCGCTGGGTTGCCTGCCCTCGTACCCGTAGGCTTAAGCGCCTTAACTGGGCCTCTGGAGCCGATATTCTTCTCAGCTACCCTAAGCCGCAGGTAGGGAAATAAGTGTGGTGGAGGGGCCGGGGGGGGGGGGGGGGAGTTGCAGGGGATCGATCCTATCCTACAAGACACCTAGTACTCACGTCCTTCCACTCCAACGTTGCGTTTGAGACAGCTTAGGGTCTCAGAGCTTGGGCTTAAGGCTTAAGGGTTGCAGGGTTTAGGGCTTAAAGCTCAGGGATGTTCAGGGCGGGTTTTGGGCAAATTCGCCCTAGCTCCGGGCGAACCTGAAACCCCATAACATTCTTCAGCCCTACATCGGATAAACCGGGCCTGCAACTCCGAAAGTTCCTTGCGGTACGCCCCGGCCAAAACAATCATCATCAAGGTGACGCTGCCCTCAGGAGATCGAGACGTGGTTTACGGAGTGTAGGATTTAGGGTTTATGGGCTTAGGGTTTACAGTTTTAGGGGTTAGGCTATAGGGCGTTCCTTGCGTTGTTTTGGGGAAAGGGGTTTGGGTGCGATGGGCTTTGGGAGCCGTAAACGCTGAAACCTCAAACCCGAAAATCCTGCCCAAGGCATGCAACCGGGACGCGAAGGCCAGTGCGCAGATTGAGTAAATCAGGCACCTGAATCTGGGGGTTAGATTTTGGAGCTCACTAAGTTCCCCTACTGTAATTATTGAGCTAGGTTGAATAAGGGATCCTAAGCTCAATTTTGGACCTGCTTGAGTGTCTGCAATCTCAGCCCAAACAACTGAGAGTGGAGAATGGTTTGTCATCGGTGGGGGCCCAGGCCCAGGACAAAAAAAAACCCAAGAAGCCAAACCATGTACGAGACCCACCCGAAATCGAATTCGGGGCCCCCGAAAAACTCTTTAAAGACCCCCAAAAAAAACGGCACTAGTGGACGTCCTCATTTAGGGGATGGGGCCTCCTTGAGAGTGCACAGAAGAGGAACGTGTGCTGTGTTGGGCCTTTGATGGCCTTGGGTTAGGGACTGAGCTTTTTGCCCCTAAACCCTAAACCCTGAATCCAAACGAAAGCGTGAGAAAGCGTCTGGGCTACCAACCCGCTGCATGCAAACATGGGTTTTGGAATAGCAACTTCTACGCCGCGCGGTCTTGCAACAGTTTTCAGTGCACGGATGGGACCCCCCCCCTCGTCCAGAGGGTGTTGCTGAAGATTCCGTTTGTATTGTAGTACAGATGTAGAAATGGCATCGATGTTGCCGTGAGACGGGGAATGGCGCGGGAAGCCGGAGGATTCTCGGTGACTTGTAGCACAAATACAGTACGTGAATCGATGCTTCCGTGAGTCAAGGCCGGAAGGACGCGATACGCGTGAGAATGGCGATTTTGATTGAATTGTAGTACAACATTAGTACTGGCATCGATGTTTCCGTGAGATGGCGCGGGAGACAGACTTCAGATTCTGGAGTCTCGGGTCCCGGTTCTTCAGATTCAATCTGGAATCCGGAGTCTGCAGTCTGGGTACTCCAGACTAGTAATCTGAGTACTCGTTTTCTTAAACCCGAAGTCGTTCTCGATTCAACCGCTTCCAGATAATGAGACAAAATCCCACGCAGCGTCCTTTTGTCAGAACACTTGTGATGCAAAAATGCCATTTTCAGGCATACTCTATCCCTCAACAAGAAAAACCTGATGTCTCGTATGTGCTTTATCCACAACATCCTATCTTAAGCTAAACCTCCCGACAATGTTGTGCTTCGTGCTAAGCACTTTATCTCAAGCAATCATACCCCGTTTGCCAACAGCAAAGCTCAAAACATGAGAGTTTTTTCGGATGTGTATTTTCTGATATATTGTCTTGGGATTTCGCGCCCCCTAATATTCAAGCAGGGCAGGAATAAGACATGAATACCGGTTATAGTGGCTATACTGACAAGAATGAGCGTAACCTAATGGGCTTAATGCCCTCAGTCTGGGGTTTCGAACATAGTGTCTTGGATCCCCCTCCAATATGCAGCGTAGAGGCTGACATGTTGTCTTGTCTTTTCGGATGGTGTCGAAAGGAAACATGGCCGAACTAGTCAACTGGCTACAAATGGTACACCTGTACTGGTTAAAAGCAATACAACTATTCATTGTACTAGCTACAGTCATTATACTAGTTGTATGAATAGGGTCATAATGATAATTTGAACACTAACTATAGTACATATTGGGCATGATACAATGATCTTAGTGCCTTGTACTAATGCCAATGGTTACGTTAGCAATATTATCAAACTTTTGACTTGCAGCAACAATTTTCATGATACTCATTACATTCATTAGGAACCGTATTGATTTTGTTGGCTATATTGGATACATACTTATATTAAGTATATTAAAACAAAATCAATTAAATGCTGAATACATGTTTTGAATCATTGTTGTCTTGTGAGCTCTGTCTAATCTAGCACTATAACAGATTATGTTTCTTCATGACTTTAGATGCAATACTTACATAAGGAATGCTTCACGAAATTTGGATCGTAGGATGTTAGACCTAGACGGTCCTTCAAAGATGTGTCGTCGTACCACAACAAAAAGGTCGCCGATTTGTCAATATGTTATACATGCCATACAGTTCAGAAGCAACATTTAAAAAATTGTCCGTTAACTCTTGACCCAAAGCGTGCAAAGCAAGCCCGAAAGTTCTGTATCCTATCAAAAAAAGCCAAAAAAAACTCAACCGAAGCCCTAAATCACACAAAAGAACAAACATGGAACACTGCAGGCGGCCAAGCACGGCGCCCTCTTGCCTCCGCAGCTCGGCGTCGCCCCGCCGACGATGTCGGACCCGTTCCGACAGGACTGGCGGGGACATTTGTTCCGCCACGGCCAAGATGGCACGTACGGGGAGGTCCCGCTCGTCAGGGTCCACCGGTACAACCGTAAGAATGGCTACGATCACTCTAACCTCCCGCCCGACCTTGAGCGCGGCCACGACAACGATGGGCAAGAAGAGCCCTTGGCCGCGCACGGGAAGCCTAAGCGTCGGGTTTCCTCGGGCGGGTTTCGATCGCCGAGCCAGCGGCCGAGCGCGGTCGCGAAAGGACGCGCAGCGAGACACCTCAAGCACTGCTGCGCCCCCTGCGTCCAGCAGCGGCAGGAATAAGATGCTGCAAGAGGCACGTGGGCGGACCGAAGGGTCGCCGGCAGGCAAGGTCAAGCCGACTAAGTCGGATAGGGCGCTCGCTTCGCAGTCCTGCGCGGTTCCCCGTGGCAGCAAGAGAAATTACTCTCCGGAGCTGGTCCCGCCATTGGACAAGCTCCACACACAGGAAATTGACGCGTTCTTCGCGGGCGACCCAGCCGCGGAAGACACGAGAGTCGAAGTCAGGAGTCAGGCTCACCTTGGAGTAGGTGCTGCGCCTGCGGACTTCCCTGCCGAAGGAGAGCAGGAAGAGGAGGAGGAAGTCGTGGTGGATGAAGAGGTCGAGGAGGAGGCCGAGGAGGCAGTTCTATGCGTACGGCAGCTGGATTTGCTTTTTCTGCGAGTCCGTCAGGTTGACGACAGTCAACTACTGCCGACTCCGGCATGAGAGCGGCCCGAACAAGGGCGCTCTCTGTGATGGCCGGTGGGCGAACGGCATCGACCTCGATTGGTGGGTCATTGACCCATCAACGGCGAGGACCAAATAGATTTGGCCGTCCGCATTGCCAGGCTGGCAATGCCCAAGCTGCGGGCAGTGGAACTTATCGTTCCGGAGGCTGTGCTATAAGTGCAGCACGCCTCTCTGGCTGGCAGAAGTCGTTTCGCACGGGATCCCTGATCCACAAGGGTGAGAGAGAATGGGACGATCTCTCAGAATCCAGCCAAGACACGCTGGATTATGAGATGAATGTTGCCAATATGCAACTCGATCTCGAACATTTACAGCCCCTGCTGCGGAACAAGAACAAAAAGCGAGGCGGCAAGCGCAGGCGCGAGGACGCCGAACAGGGTCCGCAGCACGACGCGTGGCGCAACTGGTCCAAGGGCAAGAAAGGGAAAGGCAAGGGCCAGCCCAGGGGCAAACACTGCTGGAGCGTGTTCGGCGCGGGCATTATCGCCGCGCTTCAGCCCAGAACGACTGCGTCCGTTCGTTTTGCCTCCGCCCTGCCCCGTGCTGCCGCCGCGCTCTCCCTTTGCGCTCAGCCGCGAGGCCTTCAACAGGCTTACGCCGCCGCTTCGGCTGGCGTTCTCGAAGAGGTGGGCCAGGGCGCCAGGCGGGCGATGGTTTGTGCCGCGATGTTGTGCTTCTTCACTCGTCCTGAACCGCCTTGCCCACATCAAGTATGGAAATGGTGCGGCCCATGAGGCGAGCCTTGTCCAGTTGGTGGACTCCGAAGCCACTTTCGAGGTGGTGAGTCGCAAAAGGAACGCGGCGCACCGTGTTTGGGAGCACTTGGGGGAACAATCCGCCGCCTGCGGATGCAAAGCCTACCTGTCTGAGGGGCGCTGCGGTCATTGCGACACTGCACTTGATGCAGCGAAGACTCAAGGCCTAATACTCTCCCTCACGGCCCAAGGCGGCGCGGACCTAGCGCAATTGATGCGCTGAGGAAGTCTGCTTCAGGCGCATTGCAGCGGGGTAAGGTGGCGGCGAGGAGAACTGTTTTTCTCAGCTGGCTGCCAAAAGCCGTGAGCTCTCGTGTTTCCAGGGGCTTGCGGGTCGTGTCCAGGCCGCTCAAAGCGCCATTCAGCCTGCCACGTCAGTTGTGACTGCCTCGGGGTCCCTTGC